GCAAATTTCATTGCGGTACTACAAAAAATCATGAAGTTATACATTTTTGATCCGATAACGACCGATTCTGCCCACCGTGGGACGCCCTATTAAAGCATTATCACCCTTCAAGCGTTTTAGTCATGATTTCAAAGGGCGCTTACCTTCTAATACACCGAAAAAGTATATACTTACTATCATCGATGAGTTTAGCCACCTTCCATTTGCATTTTATTGAGAAAATATGACCTCTGCAATGGTTATCAAATGCCTAAAGTACTTAATATTCACATTCGAAACTCCACTCTATACACACCGACAGAGGTTCAGCATTCTACATTCAATTTGTTCGCTTCGCCTCTACAAATACAACTCCACATGAGACGTTATTCAATTTTCCACGAAGATAGCCAAATGACAGCCAAATGGAGTCCCTAGAACGTTTTGTTAAAGCTGCAATACTTTATTTTTAAGTGATTTTGAATTATTTGTTAGTTTGTGCTAAATAACCCCGAAATCGGGTGTGTTCTAATTTCTTTAATGTAAACATTCTCGCTTATAAGTTATTACCTTGACATATTTTATTTTTAAAATCACAAGTCCAATAAGTAACTTTAAATTCTCAAACTATTTCGTTGCTTTATAATATTTAACGTTTTCATTGAATATTTAATTCCGAGACGAAGATCTGGTTCTTAACCAAATGTGCGATAATATTTTATTCTATTGCAATAAAGGCGAAGTAGATGTTTAAGGAAACTAGAATTGTTGCTATACTAAACAAAACGGAATTCTGAGACTACGTACAATTAACATTTTATTATTTATCTACCTTATAGAATACATATTTAATTGTTTCTGCTAAAAATTAAATATAATCGATACATTGTACGAACGCTAGTTATTTTAGTTTCAATTCTTGATTTTATTTTCATCTCAGGTTCGTTTCCCGGGGATGCTATAAATAATAGTTGATAACCTTGAAATTTAGATGATTTTAAATGGAACACTTAGTGCTTTAATTTTTGATATAATATTCTTTTTAATTTTTAACTTACAGATTATTATCATAGCATCTTTTATTTTAACTTCATTCTAAATGATTTTTAAAATCATTTCAAATCATCATAATTGTTCCAGGCCACAGGTAGCCGCACTTCTTGAACTTCTATTCGAGTGCTGTATTCATGTTGACAGGCTTCTTCCATCGGAGCCCGCCTCACCTACGCTACTCTGTATCCTACGTCGAGTCCTCGTGATTCATTAGTGCTACAGACCGGAGCTGAAGTCGGTTCTACCGTTGCCAGCTGCTGCGGGCACCCTGACACCGCGAACTGGACACTAAATCCCCTAATTCTACTTTAAATCTATGTCCTCTTAATTCAAATACAAGAACCATAGCGAGCGAAACTGTACACCCTGAGAAATAAAATAAAGTTTTGTTAAAACATTATTTTGTTTTAATCTTTTTACTTGAAGCCTGAGGGGTGCTTCTCCCATCTACACTACAACAACGCTTCATTGAAAGAGAGCGACGACCACCGCCGTATTTATAGGATTAAATCATAGAAAAAGTTTGAGAGGTTCTGTTGGTTATATTTTTATTTAATTATGTAACACAGTTTTATATATATCTTTGGGTGGATTGCCTGAACATTGATGAAAATACGCTCACTAGTAGCGAAAAGTAACAGGTACTTAAAAAATTGTCAGTCCTTTTAGGTCCTGGGTAGCTCAGTGGTTAAAGCCGGATTGTGAAACTTCGTGGGTTCGAGTATCATCTCAGAGAACCTGGGGCTAGTGGATTTTTAAAATATTTTTCATTAAAAATATTTATGATTTGAAATTCATTGCTTTCTTCTATTATTGAACACATTCATCATAGGTTTTCCTTTACTTATAATGTAACATAAATCTTCTATAACAAGTTTTGTCTTTTAGTTCTATACCGTATCGTGTAGCCAAGAAAATAGAACTCGAACCGTTATAATGCACAATTAATATTTTTGTTGCAAAGTTATAATCCCTTTTTGTATCCTTCTGTATGAGATTTAATGGCAAATGGCAAACGACCAAGAGGTTTGATCAGGACGTGTTCGAAGAATTAAAATGCATATATCGGACGGGGAATATATTAGGTTGAACTTATACTCCTTAAAATCATCAAGCTAATATATCACCTATTTTACCACTCTGTCCCATTTGGTAATCTGACAAATGGCTTAGGGAGCTAGTGATCCCCTAGGTAATTATGACTGTCTGGCCGCCTGTTATCGGTCAGGTTCCTTAAAAATCAGATATAACTGAACCAGCTAGACGCAACTCTTCCTTTGATCCTTATATAAACCCAATCATATCCCATCCTTTTATCCTTTCACAATCCCTAAAGCTGCCATCCACCAGTAGGCAGTTTTCAAGTCCAACTGACTTAGGGAGTGACCAAGTGGTTCGTGAGCCACTTCTTCTCTATGACCACCGCAGCAGAGCCGTAAGCAGATGAAGGGGTCTTGGGATGAACTGGAAGGAAACTAACATCATCAGGGTCACCGCACAGAGAATGGTGTCTGCGGATAAAGTAAGATGGGTTATAAACAGCTTTCAACCATATAAGGCGGCTGGACCAGATGTAATATTTCCGGCGCTTCTACAATAGGCCAATGAAGCAGAGACAATGATACTGGTGCCTCTTCTGTGAGCGTGTTTTGCACATAGGTATACTCCAAAATTATGGAGAGAGGTTATGGTGATATTCATACCAAAACCAGGTAAAGCTGACAATAATGATGCAAAATCGTTTAGACCAATCATATTCCAAAGTCTCATATCTTTTTTCGTAAAAACTCTAAAGAGATTATGTGGCATAGAGCTTTGGGACATCCGATTTAAAAACATATCGTAGAATCCTAATCAGCATGCATGTACACCTGACAAATCGACAGAATTTACACTCCACTCTGTGGGTACGATAGAAGGAAGTCTCAAAAGGAGGAAGATATGTCTATGCACTTTCACACAACAAACTCAAGGTAATAGAGACCAAAGGTACTTTGGTCACGTCTGTGGAACGTGGTATTCAACGAGTTGATGTCCACATTAAACAATCGTCGTTTCTAAACGATAGACTATTTTAGGCAATTTCAGGCGAATAATAATTTCAGGCAAATTTGCAAACACATTGTGCGATGTCACACAAACTGCACTTAGAGTGTTGGAAAAGTGGTGCAACGGCTATGGAGTAAAAGTAAACCCCTCAAAAATAGAAAAGGTGATGGTACCAATAGAAGGGTACAAAGTTCCAAAACTATTTCGCACGACATTAAATCTCTCCAACAAGACAAAGTATCTAGGTATTACACACAGTTTGGCATCCACCAAACTGAACTGAAATGCACACATAGTCAAATCCATCCCTAAAACCAACATCATCTGGCAACGTCGCCGCAGGATAATCGGTAAGAAAGTGGGATTAACTACACATATTAACAAATGGTTGTATGATACAATTATTAGGCCCATCGTATTTTTGAGCAAAACAAAGCAGGTAAAATCTATCAATCACCGGCTGCATGAGAACTACCCCTACAGCAGCACTAGAGACGATACTCAATTTTCCTGCCTTCATAAAGAGCTAAGAATCTTCAAGGACGGCTCTAAATCTAACACAGGTACAGGTGCGGGTGTTTTCTCCGAGGACTAAAATATGCACATAACCGTGGCACGGGAATCTAACGTGGTGTTCCAGACAGAATGTGTGGGTATAATAAAGTCTGCCGAAGCAATTACATGTTGAGGAGTAAAAGGTAAAAATATCCGTATTTCCTCTGACAGTGCATCAGTACTCACATAATAAACAATATACCTAGACAAACATTAAGACAAATTGTAGGTATACTTACTAGACATAGCTATTTCAACAAGCGCCTCTATAACATGGATATGTCTGACAGTTCTATCTGCAGGACATGCCTTGATGCTGAAGAGACAAGCGCTCACATGCTACTAGAATGCAGTACCGTTTCAAGACATAGGCCTATACATCTAAGTAGTCCACGGACATTAAAGGTGTCATGCAGCAAATTTCAAGGACTTGTGAGATTCCTGGAAGAGCTGGGGTGGCAGGATTGATGCAACCCCGTAATTCACGCAAAATAGGCACACCCAATGCCTACTTTACCGTATATCAAAACGTACACAACAATGCCGATATCCCTGCATCTGCAACAAGCAGAAGGCCATAGTAAGTGAAGAAGTCTGCTGCAAAGCTTCCATCGAAGCTACTATTCTCAGCACCGATGGAGAGATTTAAGGAGAAGGATATCATAATATCTCATTAAAACAGCTTCGTAATGATACGTAACGCGGCTATGTACGCAATCCAAGCATTCTGTATATCAAGATATGAACAATGCATTGTGAATCTTATGGTGTGAACGGCAGTAATTTAATCCACACCTTGGCACAAAACAACAAAAATTGATCTCACGCAGTGCGGTAAGCGCCCCCTCCGTTGCAGCTAGGATCATGCGATCCTATTGCCTGCTCCTGTGGATCGTGCTCTTGCCAATTGCGGTTCAGAAATCGTTGCATAAACGTAATGTATAAATTATCTTTGGTTGGATCACCGTAAATCATTCGGGGTGGATCTTGGATGCGCCTTTATTCTAGCTAGTTTATAGTTTGTTATTTAAATACTAGTACTGCCATCTATTTATTCTATACGTACTAAGTAAGCCACATCATATAGCGCCATCTCACGTCATTTGTTATTTCTTCTTTTCCCTGAATAATAACTATTTAAAAATAACACAGGAATATAGAATATTATTTTAAGAAGTTTCTAGATAAAAACCACAACTTCGGTTTTACAAACAGTTTTTATAGGATTATTTTCTTCATCCAAGTCAGACCATAGAGTTGTTTTAACCAAAGAGTAAAGTACACTAACCATGTTCTCTCCCTAGTTGTGACCTTGTCTGTCTCTATTAAGTGTCAAACAAAATGAATATGTCTGCCTGTCCTATTCTTGTTTGTTGTGACAATGAACTATGAAGATATATTGTAAATATAGTAGACTAAATTGAAGCAATAACGATTTTGATATTTATTTTCTTATGATAAAGTTATAGATATAAAATTTAAATTCTAAAAATGTATTCTAAATATATCGCAATATTTTTCGTATCTGCTTGTGTCGTCGTCATTTCGGTAAGTTGCAATGAGCAATTAACGACTCAGAAACTGAGTCTTTTATGTCTCGTTTACTTCTATTATATTCACAGTTTATTGATAAAAAAAGTTCCAAGTACGAAGATAATGAAGTATTTATCCACAACACTTGTAATTCACATTTCTTCTATAAAGAAACATACATATACAAAGTTATAAAACCTATGTACTTAGAACAGTTTGATTGAACATCCACTCAATTATATAGTTACAACAATTGATATGATTTACCCACAGGGTCAATCATATGAAGATAAGAGGTGTAAATGTGTGTGCCCCAGTCCTGCTGCCGTTTTCAACAATAGCGCGACCACATCCACTGACCACCGTAGACATTACATTGCGAATGTCCCACCTAATAAATGGTACTTAAGGCTTCTTTCTTTTTCAACCCTAAATAAAAACAATTCAATAGATAACATATTTGATCACATCTATCTAAACATAAAATGGTAACTTAAGGAAGAAATTTTTAGGAAGTTTTCATAAATGGATGAAATGTTTTAATTAAAGTATAATGTTGGAATAAAAATAATGCTGGTTCGATAACTTTTTAAGTTGTGAAGTTCAAACCATTATCAAATGCATAATAATAAAATCTTATATGTTATATAAATATTTTTGACAGATTATAGTTGTGACTTTGCCTACATGCCCTTTGAAATTATAGACTAAAATCCACACTTATCAACCTGTTGGTCCTCAGACTTTAACAATGACATATGATTTATGGGTAATCATGTTAATTCTCACTATTTAATATTTGAGATTTAAGTACAATTTCTGTAACGGAAACAATGAGAAGTTATAAATTTTCTAAAAATGATATCAGCGCATCTAGCTGTTTGATTAAATTAATACCACTAGGCTTTCTTATTGTAATCAAATACAATACATTATAACATTTTAAGATTTGTGTTCTAATTGGAAGTAGTACAATGTACTTTATTGGCAGTTATCTATTATTATAATGTGAAAAGATTTGATTATTTGTTAGGTGTGCTCCGAAACTACTGGACTGATTTTAAAAATTCCTTCACCTACAATGATACATAGGCTATAATTTATGTAAGCTAAAACAGTTAGTACTCATTAAACAATCATTCTTTTTGTATGACAGCAATTGCAAAGGTGTTATCTTGCCACGTGATGGAGCCGAAATCACAGAAGAGTTTTGTCCCCGTTGCGAGTGCAAATATGAAAATCGAAATACAACTATCATTAAGGTATGGTATGTCTAAGGCCTTATGCATAATACAGTGATTATGCTATCATAATATAGGTGATTTATTTATATTGATTGGACCAGTTAATTAGTTTTATAAAACAGTCTTGTAAAATAGTTTATTACTAGTGGACGCCCGCGACTTCGTCCGCGTGGAAGTCGGTATCCCGTGGGAGTGAGAAGTTTTCCCAGTAAAAAGTACCCTATGTGTTATTCTGATGTATAACCTATATTGCTGTAAAGTTTTATCCAAATCCGTCCAGTAGTTTTTTCGTGAAAGAGTAACAAACATCCATACATCCATACTTACAAACTTTCGCCTTTATAATATTAATAGGATTATGATTAGCATATATAGCAAATAGGTGAATATATCTGAAACTGTGAAGCGAAACAAATAACTTTTTTTTTGTTAGGTAATGTTTGTTTATAATAAAATTTTCGCTAGGGTCGGTCACGGGATGGGTGACCAAAAAATTATTATCTCGAGCTACTCCGTGCTTCGGAAGGCACGTTAAGCCGTTGGTCCCGGCTGCATTAGCAGTCGTTAATACCCTCCAATCCGCATTGGGCCAGCGTGGAGGGTCATGGCCCATCCTCCTTAACCATCCATAAGGAAGGCCTGAGCCCCTGCAGTGGGGGCGTAAAAGGGCTGATGGTGGTGATGTTATACTCTTACAATGCAATGAATCAACAATAGCTTTGTTTATTTTTATGTTTACTATGTAGTGTCCAGATAATTCAATTATAATTTACAATTTTGTAACTGATGCTTTATATATTAAAGTTCTGTGTGTGTTTAACTTTCAGGTGGTGGTGATTATAGTGATCTGGGTGATAATGCTGCTGGTGGTGTACATGGGTTTCCTGATCTGCCTGGACCCACTTATTAATAAGAGGGCCAAAGCTTCCTATCAGGAGCACACCAATGAAGATGTGAGTTTCACCAATTTGTTTCTTTAGTTGCCTTTCCATTTAGTTATTTGGTTTGGCTACATTTGGTTAGCAATGTGTAAATAGATTTTCTATTCTTTTAAATTTTATTTATACTATATTGAATTATATTATGACCTTATAGCAAGGTTAATACATATTGTATTGAATAGTATGAGGTTGAGTTGCACTTAACTGGTAACCCACAGATCACAGTGGTCTCTAGAAAAATTGAAAATTGAATGTTGTAAAATATCTAAATTGAATATTATATGAAAGACCATTGTTGATAAATTATACTTGGAAATTTATGTTAAATAGAAATCGACTGTAAATAATTTATTATAAAATAAATAAATATTAGACAACAACACATACATTGCTCAGAACACTAAAGCCCCCTTATTATGGAGTATCTAAAACAATATCACAACACCCAAACCTGAGACAATATAGAAAAGTTATTTTTCTATATTAACCCTATGAGGATTTGAAGACTCTTTAATAATGATTTAGTTAACACATAATTTAAATTATAATCTGTTGTTTATTTTGTTGCATTATACATTGATGATCTTGCATCTATAATTATGTTAAGTTTCTGTAGCAACGACACCGTCGTCATGTCTTGTATTATCAAACGAAAAGGCATGACTTAAATTACAAGTAGAGCTATCATTTTGATCAATAACATGTCAAACCAAATGGACTCGTTTTTTTGTTTGATTACAAAAATAATATGTGTATTTTAACCCAATAATCAATTTGATATATTGTCCCTTCCCTTTATACAGTATCATCATCATCAGCCTATAAATTTCCCTACTGCTGAAGCTCAGGCCTTCCCTATTGATGGAATCCAATGGGCCTTGGCCCATTCTCCCTATTTCATTCGATTCGACGCGGTTTGGTGGGTGTTAACGATTGCAGATGCAGCGGGCACCAACGGCTTAACGTGGCACGTGAAGCACGAAGGAGTTCATGATAATAAATTTTTGGTCATCCATCTTAAAACCGGCAATTGCCAGGAACGTGGCAGCGCCTCAAGCATGTTCCGATTTCTTTGCAATGATGCGAAAAAAAACAGCATCCTTATTGACAAACCTACAAGAAAGCTCCAACAGCATTCTGAAAGTATCATGTTGTAAACACGAATTGCCAATCTTTAGGCATTTCTCACTTGTGACAATGACACCAAACGAGGAATGACTAAAGAAATAACATTTTAAAATTAAAATATTTAAATTTGTAATTACTAACATAGGTTTTAAGTTAATATGTAATCTACTAACAAATGAGCCTTAGTTGCTTAATAGATGAATTTATTATTATTATTATTGCGAAAGTTGCTTAACGACCGGCATCGCTAACCGAGCGTGCTAGCTACTGCACCATTAAGTATAATAATAAACTTGTATGACCGTGCTAACCTTACTGTCGAACGCTAACGCGATCGCGACTATTGATTAGTCACTAGCATACTCTGGCGCTAGTGTACCCAATCAAGGGTACGAAACGGCATAATTTAAATGTCGATGGAGTATGGGGGCAGTTGTAACAACTCCTGGTGGTGTTCCATGGAAAGACCAAACACGTGTAGAGTGGATTTCGCGAGCTTTTATTACCTTTGTACATATCGACGCTAGATAGCAAACACGTAGTAACCCGCAAAACCAAAATTGTTCTTCAGAGCTGAAAAGCTTTTATATTTTTCGACAAATAATTCCTACAAACGTCCATGGTAATAAATAAGGTGTTCCTTGGTCAATTTTTACGGAAATAATAGATATTTTTTGAAAAAATTTAAAGATTTTCCAGTTTATATATCCATTTTGGTTTTGCGTGTTACTACGTGTTTGGTTTCCAGCGTCGATATGTATTTGTCTGGGTGTGCAAGTCTCTGGATATGATGGTTTCACGGTTTTTTTTGTGTAATTACAGGACGAGAGTACAATCGCCGGACCGTCTCAGCAGATGGGTGCCCGCGGCAACGTATTGAACCGCGTCACTCATCAACAGGACAAGTGGAAGCGGCAAGTGCGTGAGCAACGCAGGAACATCTACGATAGGCACACCATGCTCAATTAGAACCCTGCTCGGTTGGAATAAAGCGCTGTTTCCCTTGGCAGATGAGTTAAAAATATATTAATATTTGTGTCTTTATTGGTAAAAAAAATGTCTATCGGACACTTAGGTCACAAACTGTTGGTTGCACAAACGTCCATTAAGGTTTAATGACTCCTTTAAGCTCTAATGAATGTCAAATTTGTATGGCAAACGTTTAAACTAAAATTTTAATGGACGTTTGCGCAACCGGCTGAATATCAAAATTTAATGTAAACTTAAAAAAAAAGTTACAAATTAGTTGTGTAAAAAAGCTTTTGACAAGTTCATTGTCTTATAATCACAATTTCACTAACACTCATTACATAATATATTGCATATTCCAAGGTTTTTCATATTTAGTTATCTTCAAAGGTAGCTACTTCAAACATATTAATTCTACATTCTACTTTAGTATGAAAACTAGTTTTTTTTTTTCACCTAAAATTAAAATAAAACCACAGCATCTTATCCAGGTAATAAAAGGTAGTGTTGTTGTCGATCAACATTAAAATAGTCCACATATTACACGAAATTTATTTGTATTTCTTCATAATAGTGTTATTATGTGCATTTGTGTTGTAAGTTCCCACTGAAGCAGTCACGATAGAACGCGTCAAGGATCAATTAAAACAATAGTTTTTGCTTCTCTTAAGTTCACATTTTTTTCATATTAGAATCAAGTTTTCGTATACCACTTTTAAGAATTTATTGATCTTGTCGAGTCCATTTTATGCAGGCACATGTTTAAAATTGTTTTTAACACCTTTGCTCGTAAAGCTGATGTAATTCCACCTGTTTTAAATATGTAAAGCGGGTCATAAAAAACGCGTGTGTTACCAAAGCAAATAGTTAAGTTATAGTCCATACAAATTCCATAACAGTATTATTTGCCATTTCGCGCGCTGTTGCTATTCAAATTTCGAACTAATCGCCGCGCGGCGCCAGTCAGTAGGCAGTCTGTTAAAATGGCGGGAAAGCAACAGTGTACATTCACAGATTGAGTTTATTTAATGTTTTTTTTTTTCTGTTTCCTCGCAAATGTGTTAAAAGACGTCGTACAATATACTTGCATATTGATTATAACATGCTCGGCTCAATTACGCCTTCGCCTTCGGCTCGGGCTGAAATTCCGCCTCGCATGTTATAACCATCATAACGCACTAATATCGTAATGTACTATTATGTATTTACAAATTAGAATTCTGTTTGTTAGAAAAAATCATCAATTTATAGTTTCAATACCTACATATATTAAAATCTATTTAATGAAATGAGGCAGCTTAACATTTATTTCTGATTAAAATATGTTTTTACTTACTCATTGTACAGTCCGTCGATTTGATTCCTAGGCCACTATAATTTAATCTATAGTAAATCAAATCAACCTTGAAGATTTGCCTACGGTTAGTGTCACCGTTTCATCACCGGAATACTGGAGGCAGGTTGGATAAGCCAAAATTAAACCCTTAAATTATCGACAGCCCACACGCTCGTACAAAGCGAACTATTCTCCAATAATATAACCTATAGCTCTTCAAAGTCAGAGAGTATATGCACTTCCTGGGTAGGCAAAAACCATCTTTAGCCATATCTTACTTGCCATTAGATCAGATAATGAAAATGTCAAGTTTAAAAAAAAAGTTGTGTCTAGAACAATAGCAATATTTGTGTTCTCTTTGGTTAATACTTTTGTGAAAATTCACTAATGAGAAATAATAAATAAAATATTTATAGTCTATTCAACTTCCTCTGAGACAAAATGTAAACAAACAAACCAATGTTTCTCAAACTTTTTTTATTGATGTTGGTTTGTAAATAAAATTTGTAAATGGGACAAATTATTGTATGGTAGGTATGCAATACAATAATTCTATTTCTTTTTCAAATAAAACTAGCAATTGTTAGAGTAAATAATTTTATTCAGAATCTTCCCCGTCTTCCTCTGAGGAACTAGTCGCACCAACTTCTATCACAAAACGGTCAACCAAATCTATGACACCATCAATTTTTAATTTTTTTTTTTGTTCTTTTATGACATGGTCAATGCACTTTAGCCAATCTCCTACTGTCCCTTTTTAGAGCATCGGTTTATAAAGATTTTATTTCATTTAACTTAAAAGTTTTATTATTTTTTGCGACATATCCTTTGACTTGGGCCCATATCAGTTAAATAGGATTTAATTCACAGTGGTAAGGTGAAAGTCTTACCACTGATTCTTTAATAATCCTGTGCACAGTTGCGCGTGATATTCCTATTATTTCTGCCGTTTTGTTGACGATATCACTTTTGTAAGGATATGAATCCTTGGGCCATATCTCCTCAACATGTTTTAACACATTGATAACAGCCTCTTTGTCAGTTGCACGCAAGGGGGTGTTCTTGGAACGCCTTTTCTTTGACGAAGAAAAAGTACTAGCTTTGCTTGTACTTGGTCCAGGTTCACACGAAAATGTCAATAGTCATAATTTAAGACGAAAATGTCAATAGTCATAATTTAAGACGAAAATGTCAATATAACAACAAAGAAACTTAACAATAACAGAAAACAACAAACTTAACAACTGGAATAAACAAATAACAAGAATTTAACGAAAGCATTTTGCACAAGTCAACAAGTTGATCGAGAGTAAAAATGGCCGGTATAACCCGACTAATTACAAAATTTCACGTTTCCACGTAAAGTACTCCTCAATTTAGTAGTATTATAATACGTTGAATGTTTGGGAACAGCTTCAATTTTAGGTGTTTTTAATGTCCCTTTCTTTTTTGATTAATTTTAAATGCATTTATATTTTGACATTTAGTCTCAGAGGAAGATGAATAGACTATAGTTTTACTTTATTATATCTAAATAAATTGAACTAAAGATCATTAGTATCCTTAGTATGAGTAACCATTGAGTGCAAACCGAATTGGCATTGAGCACAAATGTCAGAACCTTTTACTGAAAATCTTGTTTAAATCTACAAACTCCAAATTGTATTTAACAATGAAAGTGATTTATAAAAAAATTGACAGACTGTACATTTATATGCGTGCTGGCATTTGTCAGAGTAAATGAGTTATATGGAGTCAGATTTGTTGATCGTAATACAAGTACTAAATCTCAATACGAGCTTTGGCGAAACGATGGTTTTATGTGCAACCTTTTATCTAAAACTGTATTGTTCGTTTTAATAAAAGAGTTTTATATGTATATATTTGATATAGAGTCTTCTGTATTTACTCGTAGATTAAAATAAAAAGGGATCCCCGTCTCAGATATGCTAATCTGTGATAAAAACATCATCGACCTCACGTATTTTGTTGGATAATTATCCGTAGTTGCTGGCAACAATTTTGAAAATACAGAAAAATAATAAAAAAACCTCTGTGACATCAAATTGAAGAAAAACTGAAATGAAAATGCAATTAAATTAAAAACAACAAGTGTTAACAAAAAAGAAGTCTGTTTATTGTATATCTCGACAGTTGTCTTCAGAGATTAAGATGTATGAATGTAGGATTGCAAAAAATTGTCTAGTTGTTAACTCCCTACTGTATGCAGATGACCCTGTAGTGCTTGTTGAAAATCCAACTGATCTGCAAAATCTAGTCACAGCACTCTAGTTAAGCAATCAGTGGGTAGCATAGTATGTACTGTGTAAACGCTTTTGAGTATATTTTTTCAGGCAAATATATATTATTAAGTATCTTTATCATTAATAATGATATTGGATTTGGTAAGACGTGATTATAGATTAAAAATTCATAAAAATCGTATTCTGCGCCTGCGTCTTAAATAATTTACAGATGTATGAGGCGGAATTGCACGTCGGTTCATCAAGACAAGGATCTCTTCCCTTTTTATTATAATCTTAGGTTTATTAGTAAATGAGTTTGTATTTGAATTTATATGTTTGCATTTTTGCTAGGATACAGCCACGTACAAATATCTACATCGACAACATTCACACTATTGTGTGCCTTATTGTCTTTGTCGTAAGAACTCATTACATACGTACGTGAATGTACCGTAAATAAAAGCCGTGGGCTTATCTACTCTGTTTCTCCAAACCACCACCACTTCACTCCAGAAGTACATATTTTATTATGTTAGACTAATTGTATAATAAAGGTACTCTTAAAATTTTATAATTAAATTTCTACTGAATTCTAACTCTACTCTGTTAAAAAAAGTTGTTTAAAAACCACAATGAAATATTTGGGGCAATTAACCGTTTTCTTGCTTAAAATTGGAATAAATAAATTATAGACGTCAGTCAGGCACGAACGTGTAGTGCCATCTAACGATTTTGCTACACAATAAAAAGATATAAATAAGGTAAGAGCAGCGCCATCTAGGAATATACTTTATGATAAACGGCCGGTTTGCTACCAATCTGATAAGATGAACTAATGTTTCGGCTGCAGCTAATGTTATGGCGGAGCGTGTCGCTAGCCCGACATAACACTCCTTTAATTTTAAGGTAATAAGATTATCATGCAATTTTATGACTTAAAATCAAATGTAAATGTTAGTATTTGTGCAATTGCATCACTTATTTTTCACTGCCAAAACTACCCAATTGTATAATTATATTGAATTTAAATTTTCCGCTGGACCAAGATAAAGATTAACATAGTTTGAAAATATTAAATATATTATCAATACTATGTTTTATTGAAAAAAGTAATAGAGTTCGAAATGGGTTATCTGTGTAACTCCATTACATAAGAATAGATAAAGGGTATGTTCCGATATACACTGCGAGCACTGCGCAGGGGTCTTACTGCTGAAAAATCCGTTCCGTTATGGACTACCAGTACACTGCTACAGTACCCTAGGGAAATTCATGACGTCATAAATTGCCGCGATATTTGTACTGTGAGCACTGGAGATTTCGAGGTAAGGTGCTCGCAGTGCTTTTGATCACGTGATCAGTCGAAACAGAATCAGAAAATGATAAGTTTCTAAATAAACAAAAAAAATACTTACGTTTATTGTAAGATGGATAAATAATTTTTTTATACAATTTTCCAATTTTATAATATTTTCTTTTGAAAAGAGGGAATCTTTATATTTATATTCACCTTGCACTAACAAATTTGAAAATGGCGCCAAAAAATAGGAT